GAGAGCTTGGCCTAAGGGAGACATCACAATGGAGCCGACGTGTGTGTGTGTGTGTGTGTGTGTGTGTGTGTGTGTGTGTGTGTGTGTGTAAGGACCCAGGAAGGCAACAGCATCATTGCTCAACAGCGCGCCGTGAGGCAGTGGCAGGAACAACAGTCCAGGGGACTGAAATGATGCTACCAGGAAGCAAGACTTTCCCTTTGAGCCCAAGTACTCTGGGACACTGTAGAATGAGGGGTGTCCTAAAAAAAAATGGACATTAGGAGGCAAGGGGGGCTTCAAGAGGTAACTAGAGAATTCAAAAGAGGTGACCGTAGCTGTGTTGTGGACCGCCATGGCAGCAGGCATAGCCAACCATGGAATGAATGGACATGAGACAAGAAACAAACCATCACACAGAACGCCCTGGAGAAAAACAAAGGTTGCTGTGTGTATGTCACAAAAAGAAGTATTGTGCTTACAATGGAAACACAATTCCTAGAAATGTGCATGCAGCTGGAGCGCTCGGAAGACATCCAGGGCTTCGCACCCCCACTTTTCCAGGGAGCAAGTTTCGCGTGTTTAGATCATTTTTGAACCTGAATGCAGAAGAGTCTTCAAGGGATTCTGGGTCAAGAGCGAGAGCAGGGTGGCTGAGGAAAGGTGGGTGCTCCACCCCCTCCCCTGGGCGGCCGACAGCCACCGCCAGGCCACTTCAGCTGTAGTCAACGTCTGCACCAACCAGCAGGAAGTCCTAGGAGAGATGGGGACACTGTCACAGCTGCATGGGCACCCTGTTTGTGAGTGTGGAGCTGCTCTGCTGGGTTTTGGAGGGAAACTTCCAGAGCCTGCCTGGCGGGAAGGAGGAGCAGGGTGGGGCTGATGGATGGGGCTGATGGAGAGGCTGGATGAGCCTGGACCCCCACCCCACCCCGTCTTGCCCCGGGGGTGCACACCAGTGGCTGCCCACCCCGATTCTGCCAGCAGCTCCTGCGGCTGTTTCCTTCTCAGGTGGAGACCCCAAGGCCGCTGTGCAGGCTTCCTCTGCCATCCGCCTGTGGTAGCCCACGGAGCCTTGGGGTAGCCCACGGAGATTTTGCTCCCGATCAAAGCTGCATAAACATTTCCCTTGACTCCTTTGTGTCCTTCACTCAGATTTTCAGAAGTGAAGAAAGTGAATTGTGCCATGGGGGAGTCTTTGCTTTTCCCTCTCAGTTCAGTGTAGGGAACCCAAGGGAAATGCTTGAGTGCTGGTTTTGTGGCAGACATCAGTTTTGTTGGGACAGGCCAGATGTTGGGGTCACAGGGTGAAGGCTCTGCTGATGCCAGTGGGGAGTGGAAGAAAGGAGAGACAGGGCTGGGTCCCAGAATGGCACCACGGTGGCTCTTAGGTTGGTGAAAGTGAAGGGGGAAAGCCAATTTCGGGAGCTGAGACTCTGCAGGGATCCCTGAGAACTCCCTCTGGGAAGGAGAGGGGAGGAGGAAGGAAGAGGCTGGAAAACCAGAGCAAGACTCAGAAGCTGAGACAGGAACATGCCATGATGGGGTAAATAGTGTCACATACTACTGGGGCCCAGGCTGGCGGAAAGGCCAGAGGAGGGACACATGCTTTGTATCTAAATCCACCCCACACTGACCACACTTCATGCCCTGCCAGCCTACCGTGAGGCAGAAGGCACAGAAGATTTATAAAAGATATGTGTCAATATTTAAACACGTCTGCCTTGTGAAAGAGGCCCCGTGGCCACCCAGCGAGCTGGGTTTCCCCCAAGTGCAGGGCAGACACCTGCCTTTGCTTCTGGCTCACTGAGTAGCCGTTCAGCTGACTTTCCTGAGACGTTGTCTCCCTTCCTGTTTATTAACAGCAGCTATCATCCAGGGTTGTTGTAAGGGTAGAAAACTTGAGTCAGGGCTTGCCTAGATGAAGCTTCCTGCAACAGTTGCTATTAGTAAAGAAGATGGACAAAGAGAGACCTTTGGGATTTACCTGGTGAGACTGAAGCAGCAGGTTGAGCAGCTGGACATGGGCAGGCATGGGGAGCGGGAAGCCTTGCTGCAGCCTCGCTGTAACAGAGGTTAGCGTCAGGAGCAGGGCGGAGAGGCAGCTTCCCTGGAGCCTGGTTCTGGGTGGGGGACTGATGGGCATGTGAGTCCAGACCAGAGGTGTCGTGGAATTCCCATCCACTTCTCCACCATAACCCAAGGACTGGGGCCCTTCATTTCCGGCCTAAGCCCACACCCAGTAATTGTATGGTCCTCCCTTTCCATCACTGCCCCCCTGGGGGTGATCACACTGCTGGCAAACACCAGGCCCAAGTGATACCTGGGGTGGCTGCTTGCATGGGGTGTGGCCAGCCCGCGGCCATGCATTTGAGGCTACCTCCTCATATGTGCAAGAAGACCTTCAATGTTTAGGATAAGCCAGAGATGGGTAGTGGGCAGGGATCCACATTTGAATTGGACCTCCAGAGACTTGTAAACTCAAACCCGGTCTCCTGGGTCATTTTGAAGCTATATGTTTCAAGGATGGGAAGTAGGGGAATCAATCAATCAATCAATTTAATGATGCATTGTTTTAATTTACAACTTCTAAATATTCTAGTCACATGGCATGTGTGGCCTCTATTTGTGCTCTTGTCCCTGGCTCTGCAATGGCAGGCCTTGCCAGTGTGGGGAGCTGACCTTACCCTTCTTCCCTGGCCCTTTTCCCAGAACTGGAAAGAGGTCACTGGGATCAAACCCAGTTGGGATCAAACCCAGTCCCATCTGCTCTGTGATGTGAACAAGCCACTTAACTTCCTTGACCTCCCACTTCCTTCCATGAAAACTAGAGACAGCTCATCTTCTAATCTCCTGGAGCTGCAGTAAAGTCTGGATGAAGTAATGGGTGGGCAGGTGTAGGAACTCGGCTCCCACTGGTGTTTTTTCCCATGCCATTTGGGATTCATATGAGGCGGCCAGAGCCCTCAACGGGGGCCAGGTTTTAGGTGGTTCAAGAAATGAGCCCCTCCCACTTTCGGTCCTAGGGAACCAAAAATCAATCCTTTCTCCGAAGCTCCTTACCATTAACCTTGGGAAGCACAACAGTGGGCAAAAGAAAGTTCATGACATTCTGCAGGCTTTCAACCTGGAAACCCGAAAGACAGGCGCCATGTCAGACCCCGCTGCCTCAGCAGCCCTCTGCCTGCTCCCTCCCCCAACCCCCTCGCTGGGCAAACTGAGATGGTGTCAAGACTATGGCACATCAAGGTCACCGCAGTGATCACTTTCATTCTGAAGTTTCGGAGAGGACACCTTCTAGACTGTAGGGTGCAAGAGAGGCCATCAGAGTGCTGCATGTGGAAACCTGTGTCAGAGTCTACAGACTGGAGAACAGAGTCGTTGCTACTTGGCAATTTCATCAAAAGTCTGAATGCGTGTGTCTGGTGGGCTGCAAGCAGGCACCTACGGCATTCGGCATTCGTCCTGAGGGGTGGTTAGGCCTCTGCAGAGATGTCAGCCGAAGGATGCCCACCAAGTGATGGATATGACCAAAGCAATAATTAGAAGCACCCACATTTCCAAGATTTGGGGGGAATAGCGGCACTTTGATACCAGGTAATACTATGCAGCTGTTAAGGATGATATTGTAGAAAGACAATGATCAGCACAGAATTATTCATGAGGGAATTTTGAATAAGGAAAAGCAGACTACTGAAGCCATGAAATGCCACTGCATTATTATCAATAAATAGCAAAGGTCAGGCTGGTGAGGTGCTGAAAATAGGGATTTTTAAAATTTGCTTTGTTTTTACAGATGTAGCTTCTGGCTGCTTGATAATGTTGGTGTTTTGCTTTTCCAATAATGAAAAAAAAAAAGTTTAAATAATGTAACACCCTCGAGATAATTGCCTCCAGTGATGACATTTACAACTTGCAAATAGGTCCATTTTTGTTGCTGGAACAATTGGGTTTCTTCCTCCAGGCGGTAATTCCCTGAGCTCATCAGATCCTGTGCCCTTTTTCTCTTAAGTCTGGGGACTTCATATTTTTCTTTTCTGTAGAAGCAGAAGTTGGTTGCTGACTGAGCTAAGCCTCCAGGTGAGCGCCAGGGAGTCCGGGCACACGCAGAGGCTGCTCTGGTGCTTCTGTGGGGTGTGAGCTCATTGGATGGACACGCCTGGCTGGGTTTTCATCAGATTTGGAGGGCGTTTGGGATAGTCTGGATTTGGGGTTGGGTGGCTAACAATGCACCCAAATGGGGGTATTTCAGAGAGCTAAGGAAGTGCTCTTTAGGGCGTCACCAGAGGCCCTTCAGGGCCATCTGGATAAGAGGCTTGTGACAGGGCATGGCATGCTCAAAGGGGAGCTCTAAGGTGATGCCCATCCAGGGAGTCTGTGGAAGGGACCTGGACCACACTTCCATCGGCAACTTGCCACTAGCACGGGGGGTAGGAACGTGGGTCTGCTTGGTGGTGATCAGAGATTCTGGGGAGGCGGGTGCCCTGCTAGGCCTGGTGAGGTGCCGGCTCCTCTTCCTCCCCCCTGCCCTGAGCCAGCTCAGAAAGTGACTCTGCCCTTGACCCAGTTGCGAAGCCAACACCTAGGGGCGATTCTTCTTCGCCCTTTCTCCTTACCACACCTCAGATCTTTCACCAAGTTTCATCTAATTCTGTTGCCCAAGTATGTCTCCAATCCAGCATCTTTCTCCTTCTACCTGGCCCGTCCCACCCTCTACCATCTCTCACCTGAACAAAGGCACCTGCCTCGAGCGCCCCCACTCCGGTGTGATGACTCGACCCTTCAATTCACTGCTCTCCCCACCCCACCCCACCCCAGTGAGTGGCACCTTTTATACCCTTTACACGCCATGATCAGATCGTGCTTCTCCCTGCGGGAAAGAGCCCATTTTCTCACTGTCCTTTCAACACGATCTTCTCCAGCCCAAAGGCTCTGGGGAGCTGGGCCCTCCGTCCTCTCCAGCCACACACCCCCTCCTTGCCCTCCTTCCTCTGTCCGGTCACACTGTCTCCCTCCATTCCCCAGCACAGCCACCTTGTTTCTCCCTCACGGCTGGCCTCCATCCCTGCTGTCCCCTCCTCCACAGATCTTGGCCTTGCTGGCCACTTCAGCTCCAATGTCTCCACCTCCAAAAGGCTTTCCTCCATGAGGGTCTAACTTCAACCCTCCCCCTCACTCCCTACCCCATGTCCATTTTGTTATTCACTGCTTTGGTCATGACTGAAATGATCTTCATTTCTTTTTGTGTTTGTCCACGATGAGGTAAGGGCGGGGTGGGGGTGGGATGAGGTGGGGTGGGGAGGGGAGCTTCCCTGTCCCTGTCATCAACATATCTCCGCACTCTCAGTAGTGTCTGGCATACCAGTAGGTGCTCAAAAAAGGAACTTGTCTGTCCACAAACATTTGTTGAACAATTTTCCATACGAGATTGTGCATGTTTAGCCCCAGTTAAAACTCATCCACTATCTCAGGTGGAAAGGACCATCCCTGATCTGTGGGGAGGAAATGCAATTCAGAGAGGAGGTCATTGGTTCACTTGTAGGTGGGGAACACAGATTCCAGCTCAGGTCTCTCTGCCCACAGGCCCCACCCCCAGCACTTCTTCGCATGCAAATTACATGCAAATGAGCCAGTAGCTGCCAAAATGATTTCAAGAATTCCCTGAATTCAGAAGGGGAGGGGGAAGGGGAAGAGGGGTGGGCAGAGTCGCCAAGGGCTGGACTCACCGAGAAGGAGCCAATGTCAGAGTGCTTCAGCTGTAGGAGCAGCCTGTGAAAAGGAGGGGGCTGAGAGCATCATTTGCTAGGCCTATATGCCACCCCAAATGCATGTTCCCTTCCCCGGGTCATACCGCCCCCCTGATCTTTCCTTTGCAGAAATCAGCCATTCCCTACGTTGCTGCTGCTGAGCCCAGGGTGGGCTGGCTTAGGGCAGAGTCCTGCTAGGGACTACCCTAGTGGGTGCTCAGAGGTGGGCATGACCCATGATGGTCCAGTGAGAGTGGGTCCCGGGACAACACCTGGGAATAAGGTGTTCTCTTTTCTCCAGGAAAATTAGGGACCATTTTTGTCACCACTTATGATAGTCTTCTAGGAAATAAAGCTAGCAGAGTTGAGAGGTAGAGACAGAGTCCTAAGGACATTGTTTGAGTACCAGTATCCCCCTTGCCTGAAACTCTTGAATTTCAATGGTTTGAACTAATAAATACTGCCTTATGGCATTTTAACAGTGGCCTCAGAGAAAGAGGGAAACAAATGGCAGCTTATTGAACCCCCATTATTCCAGGCATTATGTGGGATGCTTTACCCCACTGAAATCCTGCAACACCCAAGAGGCAAGGGCGGTACTGTCACAAGCCTGTTTTACAGATGAGGAAACTGACACTCAGAGAGGGCAAGCAACCAGCCCAAGGTCACACAGCTAATCATTAGCAAAGTAGGATTTCAAACAAGTCTCTCTGATGTCAACATCCTGTTCTCCAAAAACCCTAGTAAAGCTTGAAAACTGTTGTTCACCAGCAGTCGGGCGCCCTGGGATTTCTGCCTTGTAGACTTCCCCCCAGCCCCTGCCTATTTGAGAAAGCCTGTGCTCAGCCATCACCCAGCTGCATCCTCTCTGGCTCCTCGACTTGAGCGACCCACTGGTGTTTCAAGGAAAATTAAGCCCACATGTTTCTGAGGCAATAACACTTGTCAAAATGATGCCAGGAGAAAGGAGCAGCATGTAACCCTCAGGAGCCGATCTCAAGGTTAAGAAGGACAGCTCCCTGCGCCAGAGAAGAGATGGAGCACGCACAGTACAGGTCAGGGTTCACGCAAACAGTGTGAACATGATGAAGAGCTGGCCGCTGGGCCTGGATGCTGGTGGTCACATCTGCTCTCTCCGTGTCTCTGTCTCTGTATCTCCTTCTTTCTCTCCTTTCTTCCCTCCTTTTGTCTTTCTCTCTGAGCCTGTCAGTCTCTGTTTCTATCTCTCTTCCCATTTCTAAATTTCCTCTTTTCTGCATCTTTTTCTCTTCTCTTTTGCTTCCTGCAGGCTTATTACATCCCCTGAAGTGTCGCAGACATTGAAATGCACGTTATTATCTCAATCTATCTTCATGCTGATGTCGCTGGCAAAGACTACTTGTTGGGCTTATTTCACAGCTAGGGAAACTGAGGTTGCTTGCCCAGGCAAGCTAAGCTTCCAATGCAAGCTGGGGTCCCCACTCCCCCACCATAGCTTCTAGACCAGATTCAAATGGGCAGATTCCTGAGTCTCCCAGCAGGGGGCGGCTGTGAGGGCCCAGGCACGGGGTATGAAGATGTAGGTCCAGTGAGTCTGGCAAGTGCCACGGAAGGCCAGGGACGTGGAATGGGGGTGGGGATGGGGATCAGCAGCTGGCGCTGAAGGGTCAGCTCGGGGTGCCCTGGGACTCTCAGTGCATAGGGGTACTCCAGGGAAACCCAGAGGGTTGGTCCTCCTAGAAGTGTGGCCATGGGCAGGTCACTTCATTTCTGAGCATCCATTACACTCTGCAAAATGGGGACGATTTGAGATTTAATGTAACTGACGGACAGGGAAGCAATGAGATGGTGCTTGGCATACGATAAGGTCACTGTACCCCAGGAGCACCAAGAACGCATGGCCGCCGTCTCCTTCTGTCCCCACAGGCCCACTTACTTGTCCATCTTGAGCTCTCCAATAATCCTTTTGGACTTGATGTCAACCTTCACAGAAATGTTTGTGCTCTGCAAAACAATATCCGAGGAGGTGAGGCCACTCGCCCCAGAGCCAGGGCCTCTGCCAGGCCTCCTGGACCAGGAGGTTAGCTTCACAGTGGCCCCGCCTGGGTGCCCATACTGCTGGGTCAGACCCACAGAATCCAAAGTGGAGGGAATTATTCCTTTTACCTGTGCTTGTTGATAAGCCCTAGATATCGAGCAATTAACATTTTCTGAGACCATTTCAATTATGCGTTGGTGTGTTTGTTCATTCTTTCATTTATCCATCCAATTATTAATGTATTCAAGTAGTCATTAGGTAGCTAACTTGAAATATGCTCTTTTCTGGTTCATAGTCATCCCTGTGGGCGAGGTGTGTCCAGGCTAGCCATCATCCACTATTCTTTCCACAAGTATTTGCCAAGTCAGAAACCGAGATTCCTAGATCAGATTTCCTGCCATTGTTTGTGTGACCTTGGGTGACTCCTGCAGAACCCACTTAATCTATAAAGTGGGGGTAATGGGTCTCAACTTGAAACTGGGCAGATCTGCCTGAAGTCCAGGAATATCGCCCGGGGAAGACAGTCTGGCCCTCACCCCAGTGGTCATAGTGGGGCCACCAATTGTTTGGCAATGACAGAGTGATCAAACGAATGAATGTAGAAATCAACAACAACAATAATGAAACTTGAATTAGTGAAGGACTAACCACACAAATGAAAGAACAGACAAAGATATGCACGGATAAATAAATGATGAATGAACATATATACAAATGAATGATTAATGGAACAAAGGTTCAAGTGGATGAATAAATGAATAATGGAATAAATGGAAGGCATATATGAACCAGAGAAAGTATATAGCATATTTCAAGTTAGCAATCTAATGAATAATTGAATGAATTAATAATTGAGTGAATAAATGAATGAATGAGCAAATACACATATGCATAATTGAATGACCGAAGATACGAGTAAATGAATTGGAAACAGTAATGTAACACTTACTTCCAGCTACGGATGGAATAAATAATTGAGTGAATGAATGAGTGGGCGTCATGGAAGCCAGCAGGGTCATCAGTCCTGGAGCCATAGTGTCTGGCTTTGAATCTGGGCAGGAGTCACCCTGGGCCCCTGACGCCAAGGCCAGTGTGTGTGGCCTGCTCAAGAGCCTCCTGTGCCCGCCCCCAGGAACAGCTTACCACACCAAGCAGGAAGAGGGGGGCCAGGGTGGAGTTGGGGAGGACAGCAAAGGCCTGGGTGTCCAGGGCAGGGCTGAGGTCCATGCCGGCAGGGTGCACAGTGAGGTAGGGTGGGGAGGAGACCGACATGAACAGCTGCATCTTCATGTTGGGGAACATCTTGGCCACCTGCAGCCCCCAGGGGGGACAACCCACAAAAGGGGCAATTTATTAAAGTGTTTTTAAATCCCATCTTGTCTTGGCTCTACATCAACACTTTCCCGTCTGCCTATGTCTTTTCCAATAAATCCCAAAGACTGCAAGATCTGACAGCTGGCGCCCTGTTCACCTCACTCAAGGCCTCTCCTCCTGCTTTCCAACTCCAGCCTCCCAGGATTCCTTTCTGTTCCTCAAATATGAGCAGCTCTCTTTCCATCGAAAGCCTTTTGTACGCTCGGTTCCCTCTTCCCGAAAGCTTGACTGGCCACTCTTCCCCTAGCTTGGCTATTTCCCTCCTTTCAGGTCTCAGCTGAACTCTTGCCTCCTCAGAGAGTAGTGGTGGCTCCCAGGGGAGCCCAAGGGGTCTTTGGCAACACCCCCATCTCTGCTAGCTTCCAATCCTCTCCCAGGTAAACTCACAGCCTGGGGGGGTGGGGGAGAAAAAAGATCATTATGCAAATGACACTTCCTTGGGACTTCCCATGTGGAATGTTCTGGAAGTACCACCATGGATGAGGCTGTTATAGACTGAATGTGGGAGTCCCGTCCCCCACTTAATATGTTCAAGCCCTACCCTGCCCGTAGTGCCCATATTTGGAGAAGGGGCTTCAAGGCGGTAAAGAAGGTGAGTCAGGGCCTAAGAGAAGCGCCCTGTGCCAACAGGACCAGTGTCTTCTACCAAGAGACCCAGAGCTTGCTCTCTCCACTGCACCCAGAGGAAGGGCCGAAGGGCCCAGCAAGGGGACGGCCACCTGCCAGCCGGGGAGGGGCCTCACCAGTATCAGAATCTGTTGGCACCTTGATCTTGGGCTTCTCAGCTTCTAGAGCTGTGAGAAGTTATTTCTGGTGTGTCAGGTCACCCTGTCTGTGGCCTGAGCAGACAGAGACTTTCCTTGACTTTAGGCTTTGCCTGAAGCGGCCTCATCGAGATGTTGGCTTCACTTATCTTTTCTTTATAGGAGCCTGAATAATAATTTCCACACCCCTCTAGCCTGCTCCAGGGGGCAGGGGGCCAGTCTGCCAGCTAGATGCCCAACACAGGACCCCAGGCACGCAGCAGGCACTCAGCCTGTATTTGTTGAACAACTGGGCCCATAGCATCTGCCCTCGCCCCTGGGTCCCCTTTCTCTGGGTTGGGGGTGGCTGCACACAGCTATCTCCTTTCGCTCAGGCTAGGTTGCTTCCATGTCTGGGCGGGGTGGGGTTCTCATCAGGCTGCTTAGTGGACCCCATCCTCTCCAGCACCCCCGGGCCCACTCCTGAGCAGGCTCTTTCTTACCTGCGGTATGAGGGTTCCAAAGAACTGGGTCGTCAGCTGGATTTTGGATTCTTTTGGAATCTTTTGGAAGGGGAAAAGAGGCAAGAACTCTTAGGAATGATGTCATAGGTTGGACAAGAGGCACATTTCATGTGGGGTGAGAGACAGAGGGTACAGGTGAGGTGACAAGGACGCACCCATGACTCTCGCAGTGGTCAGCCAGGGTGGCCAGCTGGGGCCAGTCCCTGCTTGCACGGCAGTCAGAAGTGCTCTCCCCGCCCATCACTCAGGAGGCCCTGCTCCCCTCATCCTCTCCAGCTTCCCTACCACCAAGCTTTTCAGACTATGATGTTCTGCCACTCCTGCCTGCCTGTGAGTCTCTGCCACGTGCATGTGATGGTGACCAGTCCTTCTCGCTCTGACCGTTTCCCGCCTGGATGGTCTGTCTCCTCGCCAGAGGGGCGAAGGGGTGGCCACTGCCTGGTGCCCCAGCGTTCCCAAGAGCCCCTCAGGTTGAGCTCTGTGAGGGCGGAAGTCGGTAGGGATGGGTTGCACTGGGTTCCCGAGAGGATGGTGGTTTCCTCATCCGGACAGGTGGGTAGACTGAGACCCAAAGTGGGGCTTGGCCATGAATAGAGAGACAGCGACAGGAGGATAATGCCAGGGTGATGCGGGGCTGAGGCTGGGCCACTGAGCCCGTGTTGCTGCTCCTTACCGCTCATCTAGTGCTCTCCACACTCGGGCCTGTGTGAAGGGCTTCTCGTGCCTTCCTAGACTCCGCAGTACAAACTCCGGAGGCAGAAACTGTTGTTGGTGTGTAACAGATGACAAAACTAAAGTTCTGGGAAGCTACTTGCCAGGCTAAAGGTCACCCAGCTGGAAAAGAGGGACATCACAGGGTCCTCCCTGGTGGTGCAGTGGGTTGAAGCACAGCACGGTGAGGCTCTCCGCAGCACGAGCTAGTCCCCAGCCATGGTGCAGCAGACCTCTCCTGACCCGCCTGCTGCTCCCCTCAACAGTAACTTTCAGTCTATCTGACTGTTCTGCTCCCCACTCTGTCTCTGGTGGATCCTCTTGCCCCCCTGCACCTCTGGCCTGTACCCCAGTTCTGTATACATAAATAGCTGGATCTTAAAAAAAAAAAAAAAAAAAAAAGGAAGGGGCATCACATCTGAACTTGTAGGGGCCTCGTTGACACTCAAGTCAAGACCTTGGTCTCCACAGGGTGGACAAAGGCTCAGCTCTGGACCTTCTGATGCAACTTGGCCAGTGTCCTTCCCACATGCACTCCAGGCAGACTCACCATGTCATCCTTGACCGTCAGGTGCAGGACTCCAGCCTGTTGGTACACGAGCCATGCTGTGTTGAAGAAGTAGTCGGAGATGCCCAGGTACACCATGCGGTCGTGGTCACTGGGGAAGGTCAGCGCCGGTGGGGCAAAGGGTGGGGGTCTGCGCTGGCCCAGGCGAAAAAACTCTCCCTGGGGGTGGGAATAGATGTTTATAGGTTTCTCAAGACCAATTGACAGCATGCTGCAAAAGCAGGTCATTTATTCAGCTAAACTAAGAATAATGTGGAGTTATAAACATACATATGATAGGACACTATTTAAGTCCAATTTAAGGGCCTATAAAACATACAATACGAGAATTGCTGATGCGCACAGACATGCGGTGAAAGTATGAAAATGCAGGAAGGACACACGGAAATGGTCAGTGGGCTGCAGAGATGGAGGCGCCCGGGGCCTCAGCTCTGTGTCTCTACTGCGTTTCATTAAACACCAATCAGAGGTGAATAAGATAACATGGTACCATTTCTCGCATCCGGGCAGCAGGTCTGTGAGTCTCTAGTGTTCCTTACTTTCGAATCACTGCATCACTCACATGGACGCCCCCAGGCCTGGACGGTGGGACACCATACACCCCTTAGAAACAACAGGGCGGCTCTGTGTGCCACCAGCAACCAGCATCTAGTCAGGTGGTTGGTGGGAAAAGCTAGTGGGAGAAGGGACCCGTTCCTGCCACCCCATAGCGTGTGTGGCAGCCGAGAATCAGGGAACTGCCCTGTGAGCAGGCTGAAGTCCTGAGCTTTGGGCCCAGGCTGGGTGCGCAGCAGGACCTTCTCTGGCCTGGGGTGACCATGCATCGCATTTATCCTTTGTTCCGCTGCAGCACGTATACCACACGGTCTGGCAATTCTACTTCTAGGGAACCTTCCAGGGCGGTGAGATCCAGTCACAGAGATATTCGTGGCTGCTTGTGGTGCTGTTTGTGGCAGAAATGGGAAGGGCTCAGGTGTCCCAAGAGGGCACTCAGTCACAAGCTGTCCACTGTAAGGCCCAGGACCCCAAAAGATCTAACTAGTGTGTCAATAGTGCGTATTTTGGAGTTGTAATATCTGGGTGCTCTTTCTTTTTCTTCCCTTCCCCCCCGGTCCCCCCCCCCCACCATTTCTGCTTCAGTGCCTGTGGTCTAGAAGGCCTCCTTGGGAGAAGAATTTGAGCAAACAATTGAAGGAAAGGAACACTTTTGCAGATATCTAGGCAAGAGCTTTGGGGCAGAAGGAGCAGGAAGTGCAAAGGCCCTGGGGCACCCAGTGTCATTGAAGCAAGGGAAAGCTGTGGAGAGTGCTGTGGGATGGGGGGGGGGGGGGTGGTAGGAATCCATGGGAAGGGGGTCGAGTCATGATAAGATCTGTGTCCAAGCATGATAGGGAGCCGGGAGGGTCTGAGGCAGACACTGAGGGTATGTGGCTCTTAGCATGTCTCACCTTCAACTGCACATCCAGGATCTCAGCCGTGACTGTTGGAGGTGCCAGCAATGAGTAATCGACCCCGGCCACATTGTCTAGCTTGGCTGTCACTAGAGGGGAAGACAATGGAGCATGTGCCCTCTCCCCGTGCAGCACCTGTGGGCCCTGGGAGGCAAGGCCAGCCTCCCCACACGTGGGGGCAAGAACTGCAGTGCACTTTCACTCCCACCTCCTCCAGGGAGCCCTCTTGAGCTGCCTTTAGAGGAAAATGGACCCACACCCTGATCCAATGGACCCTCGAAGGGGCTAAAAGGCAGCGTCAAGGAGCAGAGAGACCTGGGCTTGATTGAACTCCGTATGAACTTGGACTTGTCCGTTTGCTTCTCGGTTTTGTCAGTTGTAACTGGGTAAATGTGCCCAGTGTTCTGTGCATGGCCGGGGCGCACATGCCAGAGAGGACCTATATTAGCAGTGATGACATCGCAGGCTGAGTCCATGCTGGCTCAGGACTGAATGACCCTCAGCTTTCCCACAGTAACCGATGAGTAGCAAATATCACTGAGCCCTTCCCTCCCATCTTGGAGGGCAAGAAACTGAAGCTCAGAAACAGTACTTGTGCAGGATGGTACAGCAGGTTTGGGGCTCACTCCAAAATCTTCTTCCGTCTGATGAACCACAGCTTGGACTGCCAGTGCACAGGATAAGCTGTCTGCCTGGGTCTGCCTGGGGCTGGGGCGGGGCATCTGAAGTGTGCTGGCCATACCAGGTGCCTCCGGGAGGGAACCCAGGCAGCAGGCCAGGACACACTTGGAATCAACAAAAACTTCTGAATTTGGATCCCACTCTGGCCTCTTAACTGGCTTTGAACTTGGGCAATCTCTGTTCACCAGGTCCTCACGGGAAGTCCAGAAGTGAGGTTGCAGACCAGCCCACCCTACTATTGTGCACCCCTGCAGAGGTCTCCTCATGGGGAAACTGAGAGACACGAAGACCTCAGTGAGGTATCGGGATGTGGAGAGCAAGCTACGCTGCTGGGTTTGTGGCATGTGATGAGCTCTGAGTCAGAGGACTCCTCTCCCACCAACTGTAGCTCTTCTCAGTTTCCCAAGTACTTGGGATTAGAGAAAACTGTCCCCATTTTAAAGTGATGGAAGCTGAGACCCAAAGAGAGGCAATCATCCACGTCAGACCTGTGTTCCAGATAGCTGCAAGTATTTGGTTTTTCAGTTCTGTCAAGGGTAGAGAATGAAGGGGAGTGGGAGGCTTTGCGTCCTCACTTAGAGACTTGCCATAAGGACCAGGAGCAATGAGAATCCGATGCCAACTGCCACTTGAGAACAATCTATTCTACCCATTCTCCCCCAGGCCCAGGCAAGTCTGGGAAACTTTAGGGATTCTCCCACTGCTCTTCCCTCTCCCTCTTTTTTCTCAGACTCCTTGATCCTTCCAGGCCTTACCTGGCAGTGTCTGGAGAAAACTTTGCAGTTTAGAGGTCACAGAGTTTCTCACAACCTCGCAGATCTGGGGAGAACCAAGGAAGAGATCAGTGAGGGATTCCCATGATGTAAGAGGTACTTTGGGAAAATAATCCAGACAGGTTTTGCTTTCCTGTGAGGTACTTTGGGAAAATAATCCAGACAGGTTTTGCTTTCCTGTGAAAATCACTTAACCAAGCTTCCTTTTTCTCTTTGGTCACCAGGAAGCTCAAACTTCGGTATGTAGCTTAGAAATAATTAGTGTAGATGACTGTATATGCATTTTCTTACCTAATCTGGTATGGAACTTCCCTGATAGATATTTTATGTTTTTGTTTTTTTTCCGCTGAGAAAGTTACTCCTTTTCTTGAGACCTCTATTTTCTTACCTGTGTGATGGACTGTGGAAGGTTATATTTTCCATCTGATTTTCTCTTTTATAATATGACCTTGCCATGCCCCCATCCTTGGTGACTATGTGAACTCTCCCCTAGAATCTGGTGACTGACTCCTAACTAATAGAATATGGCAGAGGTGATGTCATGTAACCTCCAAGGCAAGGTCATAACAGTCTGTGCAGCTTCCACCTTGGTCTCTTCAAATATTCCCTCTGGAGACCCAATGACATGCTATGAAAAACTCCAGCTCTGTGGAGGGATCACAGGTAGTTGCTGGGGTTAGCAGCCCTGGCTGAGAGGAACCTTCTTGTCTTCCCAGCCCAGGAACCGTAGGTGTGAGAGAGGATCTCTTGGGATAGTTCTAGGCAGGTGAGACTCAGACATCATAGAGCGAGACCAGTTAAGACAGCTCTGCTGTGCCTGTCAATTTCCTGATCCAGTCTCCGGGAACCTTATAAATGGTGGTTGCTTTATGATGCTACATTTGGAGCTGTTTCATGGAGATTCCCTAGCCTGAAGGGATGGGAACTAAATAAGGCCCTGCTTTACAAAGTTGCTCTCCCCACGAATGACCTTCGCCTCATGAATCCAATAGTGTCTGAGTCTCTGCAGTCGTTGCTTTTCTTAACTGTTGGGTAAGCCCTGGCATGGAAGACCCTCTCTCTTTGAAATGCTCCTTCTCGAGTCCCAGCACAGAGAACGCTCCCAGCTCTCCTCTCCTTCCATCTACTTTTTCCTGGAAATGGATATACTGTGAGCTCCTGTTCCCTTACAAAAAAGTCAGAGCTCTTTGGTGCTCCTTTCTGGGTACCTGTTCCTTCTACACAACCTCTTCCAGACCCTGGCCACCGCAGGAGGTCACCTTCATCTGGTGTGAACAGCTACCTTCACACACCACAACCTACCTCACCTGAGGGCTTTCTCAGCCACCCAGATCTTGCCCCACGTGCTAAGAGTTGCAGCTGCCAGAAACAGCTCAGACCAAAGAGGGGTGAGAATTGGTACAGGAACATGTTGGACCCCTGGCCAGGGAGCTGACCCACATGGCACAGTAGACAGAGCTCTCCTGGACCACACCTGCTGTTCCCTTTAGCAGAGTGTTTCAGTGGATCTGCCTGCTCTGCTCCCCACTATGTCTCTAGTGAAATCTCTCACCCCCGCACCTCTGGCCTGTACCCCAGTTCTTGTATGCATAAATTAAAAAAAAAATCTTAAAAAAAACCACCTTGGCCACCTCACCCCTGGGGCTGGTTCTGAGGAGGGTCTACAAGGTACCTCAGAATCGCCTGTGGGGCTGAGCCCCAGATGCCCACAGCTAGAGCCCTAATGCTTGAGACCCTGCTCTCTCCCCCACTCCAGCACTGCCAGGGTTCCCCTTCCAATAAATGACTTACACCCCAAGTTTTGTTTTAGCCCCTGCCCTGGGGGGAAGAGGTAGCGAACAAAGCTACTTCTTCTATGCTCCCAACTTGTGCTTACCTCCCAGACTCTGCTTTGCAGCCTGGACCTTCCCTGTGCACCGTAAGCCCAAGGTCCCACTGCCTACTGGCCCAAGTCTCCAGGTCCCCCAACTCCCCAGTACCTGCTCCACTTCCTGCCCTCCCTCCCCTTTGTCCCTCAGGCTGCTTATCTGGGGGATGACACAGGGAGCAGAAAGGGGAGGGAGGGAGAGAAGAAGAACAGCCAGAAGGCAGGCAGGGAGGGCAGGCAGGCTGGAGAGAGGGAGGCTGGGAGAAAGGAGGAGGAAGGAAGGGCAGAAAGGCTGGCAGGGAGGGAAGACGGGGAGCAAATCTGGTTTCTTCGGGAGTGTGTTTCTATCGCCTGAGACCCTGGGTACTTCAAGAGGACTAGAATCTGAGGGGACTGCGCCTCCACTCCTAGGCCCCGGGATGGCCAGGGAAGGGTGGTTCTGGGGCAGTAATTTGGCAGCTGGGCCCCAACCAGCCGGCCACTGCCCCGGCAGCCACTGCCCTCCAGTGCTGCTCACCCATGAGGGCCACCAGATGGCTCCAAAGTCCAGCAAATCCCTCGGTAGCCTGGAGGCAGCCCGCCGCCACAGTGTCCCCCCCCACATACCTGTATAGAGGTGGGTTCTTCTTCCCTCAGGTAATAGCCCTGCTCAGTATTCCCGGACGTCAAATCCCAACTCACTTCTCCTGCAGCCCTTCCTAGCACCAGAGACAGCTGAACCTTCCTTCTCTCTCCCTCTGTTCAGGCTAAATTTGCTCTTCTAAACAATACCTCATTATGACTAAGAGCTCAGTCTCTGAGCTGGGTGGCTTGGCTTAGAATCCCAGCACTTCCACTTCCTCTACCTGTGTCTCCGTTGACTCATCTGTAAAATGGGGAGAACCACGACACCCTCCAATAAGGACTTGGTGTGGATAAATGCTAGACTCCTTGCAGAGTGTGTAGACAGGGCCAAGCCCACTGTAAGAGTAAATAGTCCATATCCTCCTCCTCCTCCCCAAGGCCATGGTCTCCTTCACCACCATCCCCCTCCTCACCACCATCATCACCAGCACCATCATCATTTTTAGCTGGGCTGCAATGCAGGGTCTCACTTAGTGCTCTCAGGAAATAATCTGTTGAGTAGTCCCAAATGCTAATTATATTCTAACACCCCTTTCCTGCTGTTACTTCATTGCAAAGACAGTGAGCAAAGAAAGAGCATGCTGGTAGGTGAGCACACTGACTGCGTTACGGCCGCTTGGTTGGGACAATACTAATGTCCCCATTCTACAGATGGTGCAACTGAGGTTAACCACACATAGATTTTTTTGACTACTGCCGGCAAGCCTTTGGTGTATCTGACTGATGTGTCCACACCAATATTGTCAGCACTTTGGTCCAGAATCCAACATCTCCCATCTGGAAGATTCCAATCCCTCTGAAATTTGCTGCCCCCACTCACACCCAGACAGTCTCATGACAGCCAGAGAAATTGCTCTAAAGCAGAGATCTGGCCAAGTCTTGCCTTGCCTCCTCCCTGCCCTGCGGAGAAAGCCCACCACATTCCCTTGGCCTGTGAGACAGGCTCAAGGGTTCCTGGAAACTGACAGTTCATTTATGAAAACCAGCCCGATCAATGGTTGGGGCGTGGGGGGGGGGGACGCTGCTGACATCTGTCTCTTGTACCTGTCCCAGCTTCAAGGATCTTTGGTCACACAATAGCCTCGCAGCTGTGAGAAGCACCAAAAAAGCTTTCAAGGTTGTGGGGTGTGGGGAGGGAGGCCAGGGGGCTCTTGGGGTCAGGAGGGCAGCAGTTTCCTGGCAGGGGAGATGCTGGGGGAAGAGCAGAGGTGCCTTTGCTGTGGGTGTGGGCTGTGACTGTTTCTTAGTCTCGCTGCACTGCTCAGAAAACACACCAGGCTGATGTTTTTTCAAGACTGGTGATGGAGGGGCTGTGAGGCCGCGTGAGGTGGCTGGAGGGCACAGGTGTGTCCCTGAGGCGTGTGGAGACCCGGCCCTCCGCCTCCAACAGTGACAAGGCCTTTGCCTCGCCTACCTTGCTGGACATGGCATTTCGGAGCGAGGACTCGATTTTTTTGTGGAAGAGTTGGATCAGCCACCTGGAAATTGGCATATGGGGACATGTGTGAGGTTCCCAGTTGTCCCTGTGGCCTCACAAGGCTACTTCCCTCCCTCTTCCACACAAGCCTGATCTCCAAATGACCACCGCCCCCACCCCACCCCACCCCACCATCAGATACATCTCCCCTTCACTGTGTTACATCCGCGTTCACAACTGGACCCCTGCACACCCCAGTCCCCATTTCTCACCATCTCTGCATGCCCACACTGCCCCCCCCCCATGTTCCCCTTGTGACCTGGGTCTCCACCCACCACAGGGCCTTGTACACGCTGTTCCCTCTGCTAAAAACATCCCCTGCCCCTGCCAGCTACCTAATTAACGCCTACTTATTCTTTTCAACTTAATTCAAATGTCATTTCTGCAAGGAAGAACTGGCCAGTCCCCAGACCAGTCCAATTCCTCCTGATCTATGCAGTGGTCTATGACCTATGACATGCTGGGTCCCTCTTTTTCTTAGTTTCATCCTTTTGTGATTCTTTGCAAACCCTAAGTCATGCAATGATTTGATGAAGGCTGGTGTTCCCTTCTAGGCTGGCAGCGTCGTGAGAACAGGGACAGCGTGGGCAAGAGTCTGGGGTCAGATAGCTCTGGGTAGAATCCCTTCAACACTGCCCAACTACGAAAACTCAGGTGCTTCCCCATCTTCTCTGTACCTTGGTTTTCTCCCCTGAAAATGGGTGAATACTAGTGACCTCAGAGAGTCATCGTGTGGCTTAAATGAGCCAAGGCCTGAACTTATGCCCACACCCAGTACACAGTAGGCCTCTGGTCTGTTAGTCATTGCTAAGTTTTTAGTGGCCATTTCTTGGGCACGTTGCACAAGCCACGGTGCACAGCAGAGTCTGCTCGATGTTTGCTGACTGAGGGAGGGATAGAGGATGCCTACAAGTCTGGGCTGACGTTTCTGCGGTTGAAGGTACAGAAACTGTGTAGCCGGGGGCCAGAGATATGCTAAGTGCTCAGTAAAGCCTGCTGAATGGCTGCTTAGGGAACATGTGACCCTTGAAGGCAGGGACAATGTCTGCTCCATCAGTGGAGCCCTGTAGACAAACAAGGCTCTGAGCGAGGCCTGACGAGGAGGTGGCATTAGACATGTTTTCTATCTGTAGCATGATGGGGACCGTCCCCTCTTCCCACCCACACCCCGGAGATCCTACCCCAGGCTGCTGCCCGAAATGTGTATGTGGGCGCTGTTGACGTGGCTGCTGCAGCTGTCACACAAGATGGTGGAGTGGCCTGTGGTGGCGTTGCAGCTCAGCTTCAGAGCAGACAGAATGGAGATTCCCTCCAAGCTCAGGTCAAAGTTACCGCTGGCTTTGCTGAAAGGAAACAGAGCCAGGACTTGGAGTGCACACACTTCCCCATCGCCATCATTCATCCCAATGCTGGAAGGTAGGCTGGCCAGAATCCCTCTCCAGTGAGGGTCAGAGAGGGAAAGCAGTTTGCCCCAGGTCACACAGCAGCCAAGTAAAAGAGCCAGGATCCCAATCTGAAGTTTGAAGCCACTTCTGCCTGGTTGAAACCTGTTCTTAACCCACCGCCTCAGTCCATTGTTCTCGCTGCATGAACTTGGACATATTTCTTACCCTCCCAGGGCTCCGTTTCTTCACTCAGACCCTACACTAGTCTCAGTTTTGATACCAAGAAGCTGGATGTTTGGGGTCAGAGACGTTAGTTCATGAATGACCTTGTTCATTAAATAGGGTTAAGGACTCCTTCCTCAGGGGTGAAACGGGCTTTGGGTAAGAGAGTGGACATGAATGCAGTTTGACAGCTCTTCCATAATAAATAAATAAACACCATAAATTTTGGTGTGTGTGTGTGGGGGTGCTGTCAATATCAGTCATCAATAAGTGTAATGACAGAAGCTAAAGAGCCCAGGTAGAGAACAAAGCAACTCCTGTGCTGGGAACCGACAGAACCAGAAGCCACCAAGGTGCTACCCTGCCACTGCCCCCCAACTCCCCACAAAGGAGAAGTTGCTAAAGTGGTTGTTAGTCTTACTGCTCTCTCATGGGCAGGGTCTCTGTGGTGAAAGCCCCATTTGAGATTCAGAGTGACAGTCTGTATAATTTGCCTGTTTCTCACTGTCTCCACCCCCCTGCCACGTCCATGCCCTCCTGTCCAGGGCAGGAGGGCACCCCTTTCCATGCTGTCAGCTTTGGGTGTGGCCACATGACCTTTGGGGGCCCATGGTCTGATAGCAGTGACTGCAGGGCCGTCCCAAGCCTCAGCCTAGCTTTGAGGGCGCCCTCATACTTCTGGGTGCCCTTGTACCCCCCCCCATTGCCAACACTGTGCTCAGCATACAGGCCCATGGAGGAGAGTGGACAGAGCTGTCTGCTGAGCAGCTGGGGTCAGGGAACCCAAGACCACACATAGATCCGCAAGCCATCCAGCACCATTTGTTTTAAGTCTCTGAGCGTGGGGTGGTTTGTTACCTGGCCATCACTATCTGATTCAGGGGTAAGTTAAAGGTCCCCCCTAGCCTTCCATCTGAAGACACATGGGCCAGCCTCGCCTCGCCAGGGTCCTGCCTCTGACATGTGAACAAATGCTCAGTGATTAACCCAGGGAAATGCTCAATCTTCTTGAGTGAAAAATGACCCCCAGGAACCCAATAGGGACAAATGGCAAGAATCCCCGAGACCCTGGCTCTCGTCCCTTCTGAAGATCACCAAGTGCTCACCCAGAGAGTCAATAAACCCACGCTTGGAAACGCACATGAAATTCTTTTTTGCCTTCCACTTTCCACTGATCTTGATACTGGCGTTTTCGATGATAAGACGAAGGCCCACATTGGGCAACAATTTTATCTGGGAACTGGGAAGCTGGAATTCACGGATAAACATGCTGAAGAGACACAAAGAGCAATGACTTGGAGCCAGCAATTTCTTCCCCACTGCCATTCACCCTTCACCCCAATTCTGGAAAGTTCAGTTCAGTTCGCCTCCTGGGGCCCAGACAAGGACTCAATTAAAAAGGCAGACTTGCCCCACCCCCACCCCAGCCCTTCACCCATCTAGCCCAAAAGAACCCAAAGCCTTGGGAATTATGGACATTGGCCAGGCTCTGAGGTCAAGCAAATCTACATTTGAAACCTGCTCCTCAATGTATTATTGTGTGACCCTCAGTCTCCTTGTTTATAAAATGGACACAATCTCTATCTTGTAGGGTGTCTGTCCATTAGTGCTATACCATTGATTATAAGGTCTATAGAGGAGTGGAATGAATCTGTCTTTTTTCACTATTATAACAAATATTTTTGAACACCTACTATGTGTCAAATACATACTAGATGCCAAATACATAGTAGGTGCTCTAATTATTTTCAGAATGAACAGATGCATAACATTCTATAGAAGGTTTATGAGATTTCAATAGATTCCAATTTATGGCCTTTCTACTCAGCACCCTGAACCCCTTCTTATGGCGAGAGAACTGCTATTTTACTTAGAAGAACCCCTCCCCACATCTATATTACCAAAGAAAATTTATTTCACCTCCATCTTCAGGGAGAAAAGCTTGCAACGGAAGCATAAGCTAGTCAGTGTATTCTAGTTCCCTGACCAAAATGATTGGTGTAAGAGTGTGTACTTGGCCTAAGATGGACACTCAGAGTGAATTTTATGGTTTTTACTTTAGTAGTAAGGCCAGGATTTGGGGTTCTGAGATGTGGTGGCCATCTTGCCTCTTTGAAGGGACATCCTACTTGAGAACTAGACCTCAAGGAACGTGGTGGTGGGGGGTGGTGAGAGAACCTGGTTCAATGATACTTGAGCCTATCTCCAGCTGAACCTGAAGGCAGACTATTCCAGGCATTTTTCTCTCATGTGAGCCAATTCATTTTTGTTTAGGCCATTTAAGACTAGGCTTGTCGCTCTTGAACTCCCTCCCTCAAATCCTAATTGACATGTGTGTCCAGTTCAACCTTTTCAGGCTCACAACACACTCCCTGGGTAGTCATGGTAAGTGCCTTTAAGACAGTTTTCCTGGTTTACTCCCAGCTCCATTGGGGGCGTGGGGGATTGTATTTCCTTGGGGTGGTGTCAACTCTAGATTTGGGAATCCTTGGCATTCTGAGTTGCTGGGGTTTGTGGCCTGGGCTTCAGGGTTTGGTGTCCCTGAACACTTGGTGATCAAACTCAGAAGGTCTTACCTGTAGAAGTTATACTGCCCTTTACCAATAACCTTGACCTTAAAGCTTCCTGAGAAATCCGGAATCTTGATCTTCTCCAACTCCTTCTTCAGCACAGCCACTCCCTGCTGACAGGCTGAGGGGAGAGAGCAGTAGTGATATCAGAGGCCCATTACCTTGGGTCGGTAGTGGGGGCATGGGACTAGAAAGTTCCAGAAGGGGATCAGCCAAGTTTCTCTCTAAAGGGTCAGACAGGGAATATTTTCAGCTCTGTCAACAACACCGTCTCCATCACAATCACTCAACTTTGCAGTTGTTACCCCAAAGATAACATGGAAATGAGAGGTATGGCTATGTGCCAATGGAACTTTATTTACAAACACTGAAATTTGAATTTCATGATTTTTATACATTGTGAGATATCATTTTTCCTTTTGATTTTTTTCCATTAAAAAATATTAAAACTATTAGGTTATGGGGCACACCACAACATGTGGCAGGTCAGAACTGGCCTGGGAGTTCTAGGTCGCCAGCCTTTATATAAAATATCACACCCCCTCCCCCGAATCCAGTCATGCACCCTAAGAATATTGTCAAATACCTTCTCTGTGCCTGTGGTCTTGGCTTTTGGATTCTCCACAGGACTTTGCAAATGCCATGCCGGCTGCCTAGGAAACCCTTTTTTCCATCTTTCCCAGCCCACCTCCCAGTCAGCTAAATCACCGCTTCTTCCAGGAGCCTTCCCTGACTCAGCGGATGAGAGCAACGACCTTGTTATTCTCTCCATGCTGTGAGCATGTATTCACCTCCCTTTCTGATTAATAGCACTCTCCCTTACTTGATGTAAGCCCCAAGGTCATTGGTAATATCTGCTTTATTTGCAAATGCCTCCTCTACCTTTACGATAGCAACTGGCAGTTAATGTTAGAATGCACTTGATATCTGTGTGATGAGCTAGTAAAAAAAATTTCCCTGTGCCAGGAATTTGACTATCAGTTATTGTGTGGCTAGCGTTATCAAAGAGCCAACTAGAAGGAAAGCCCATTACTTGAAAAGGAGGAAGTAGTAAGGGGAGAGGTCCCAGGCGTTGTGTTTTCCATGTCAGTTTAGAAATAACAATAACAATAATAATAAGCATTGAGAAAACTCTTATTCTGTGCCAGGGACTGTTCTGCATTCTGTACATATGTTAATCTGAATAATCCTAGGAAGTTGGTCTCACTGCCACCCCCAACTCACTGGTGGGGAAGCTGAGATCCTGAAAGGTGACCACATAGCTCACAAGTTCCGGAAGCAGGACCGAATCCAGGCCTGCTGAACCCAGAGCCTGGTCTTCTGAAGATTCAAAGGTAAATGGCACTTAGTCACAGCCGGAACGGAAAGAGGGTGTGGGAAGACGGGCACCGGGCTCAGTAAGGGCCAGCTCTTGTTGGGCCTCTAATGCTGTGCCAAAAGGCCGGCCAGTCTCTACGGCACTAGGGAGCCCGTGGGTGATGTGAGAAAGGGGGGGTACAGAAACAGATTGCTGCATTTCAGAAAACTCCCTCTGGCTGCCACGTGGAATGTGAGTAGATGGGGAAACTGAGGCTACTAAAACAGAACACTAAGACTTCTGGGTTTAAAGGCTGAGTCCAAGTCTCTGCTCCCAGAAGTTCAGGGTCACCCCAGGCATTATTGTGTGGCTAGCAACATCAAAGCACCAAATAGAAGGCATATTCCTTTCGATTTCAGAGGTGTCCTATTTGGGCTAGGGTAGGAATTCAGGAATGAGGTACCGGGTCCCCCTGAGTCCTAACTTAGTTTCCCTAGTGGTACATGAGGGGCATTCGGGGTCTGAATTCCCTGGGGCTGGCTTTCCTCCATTGTCATGCAGTTCATCTCTCTTCCCCTTGGGGGCAGCATAGAGCAGTGGGCACCCCC